CGAGTCGTATGACTGTGAGGTCTTTTGCCTCCATGATGCCAGGAGGAGGTTTGTAGCGTCTCCTGAAAGGCTTTGGTTAGTGTAGTGTTGCCTGAGATAGGCCACACGGCTAGAGGCGGAACCATGTCCAGTTGTGGACCTCCTGGCTCTACAATCATTACCTCCTGAAAAACTATTTTTAGAGGGAGGGAGATTAGTAACCCAAGAAGTTTGGGGTACCATGGCTGAGATGGCCATATTGGAGCTATCAGGATTAGATCTGTCTGCTGCTCCTCTATTTTTGCCAGTACCCTCCCTATGAGATTCCAGGGTGGGTTGGCATATCCTTTCACCTGTCTCCAATCCTGGAGAAAGGCATCCGTTGCTTCTGCTAGGGGATCTGGTCTCCAACTGAAGAAGCGGGGGGGGGGGAGTTTGAAGGTCAGACGAGTTGCAAACAAGTCCACCTCCAGGTAAGGGAAATGACCCATTACCTGTTGAAAAATCAACGGGTTTAGGGACCAGTCTGAGCGATCTCTCATCACTCTCGACTCTGTGTCTGCTCGAACATTCTCCTTCCCAGGAAGATGCTGTGCTGTTAAGAGAATATGTCTCTCCAGGCACCACATCCAAAGGTCTCGAGCTAGGTGAGCTGCCTGGGCCAAGACTGTCCCTCCAAGGTTGTTGATGTAAGCTACTGCTGTTTGGTTGTCCAGCAACAGCAGTACTCGCTTGGTTGTCCTGACGGTCTTCACTGCCAGGGTAGCTGCTAGCAACTCCAGGCAATTGATGTGGAGTTGTTTCTCCCTCTGAGACCAAGGACCTCCAGTCTGGGTTCCCTGGCAGGATGCTCCCCAGCCTGTGAGGGATGCATCCGATTCTATGTGGAAATCTGGTTGCCTTAGAACTAGGCTCTTCCTGTTCCAGTGAGACAATTGGCTCACCTACCAATTTAGGTCCTCCCTGGCTGGTTGGGACAGGGGGCAAGGGGCATTGTAGCATTGGGAGCTCTGCTCCAGAGCTGCTGTTAGGTCCCTCTGGATTCCTCTGCAATAAAGAGGGCCTGGAGGAACTGCCTGGGACACTGAATTGAGTTTCCCCAGTAGGCGTGACACCTCGCGAGCTGTGGGAGGGTCTAGCTGGCTTCCCATCTTTGCAGCCTCTTGCCTGACCTTCTTTATTTTTTGACCAGGCAGACGAAGCTCCAGGGAGCGGGAGTCCACCATCATCCCCAGGAATTTTATCTCCTGGGTCAAGACCGTCACTGACTTCTCTGGGTGGATTATAAAGCCCAGATTTTCTAGTAGGTATACCAGTCCCTCCGTATGGTCCTTCGCTAGCTCTGCCGACTCTGCCAAGACAAGGATATTGTCTATGTATGCCACTAGCCTCACTCCTAGCTCTCTGAGTAGGGTTAGAGCTGGCTTCAGGGTCTTGGTAAAGACCCAGGGAGCACAGGACAGGCTGAATGGCAGACATGTGAACTGGCAGAGGCAGTCTAGAGCAGCGAAGCGTAGGACTGGACGGTGGGACTGGTGGATTGGAATCATGAAGAAAGCGTCCTTTAGGTCTATCTTTGTCATCCAATCCTCTCTCTTTATGATGTCCCTTAAGGTATGGAAGCCCTCCATCTTGAAATGCTGGGGGGCTACGTGCT